GTTTCTTTTCCAATGATAATAAACATTTGTTTTTATTTGATTACTGGATTATTTCGCAGGAAAACAAATGGGGTTTGAAAAACAAATAATTTTCCAGAAGAGAGAATAAGAACTGATTATTCAGTTCTTCAGTGTACATATCCGGTACATTTTGCTGGACCACAAATATCAAACAACTAAGACAGCAACCTTGGGCTGAACGTGTCCCCACAAGAACCCTGTCTTTATTTAGCTGCATTGTATTTTACAGGAGTTTACAGGAAATTTGGGTCACAATGACCATAACCCCAATGGACTGCCTTGTTCTCCCACCACAAGGAATTCTGTATCCTATTGAGGATAACTTTTAACTTTCAGAATGCCATGACTCACTTTTTTAATAGCAATAGCATTTTTTCTCAGATATGAAATAATGTGGTAACTATGAATGATATCCTGTGTTTGTAAAGGTCTGGTTTTTCAAACATTGTTTCATGTTTTAAGAAGTTTCTCTTACAATTGATGCAAAACAACAGCACACACAATGTAAGTGTACTTGCTTGTTTCAAAGTGACGATTGAGAGACATTAATCTCTAAATTTGGATTGCCACTAAATTCTTTACTAGACTTTGAATCATGTTATCATTGGAGATGGTAAATTCAGCCTGCCATTGCAGACTGGCTCATTAATACACAGTCAACCCAGGAGCCTCGATCTCATACACTTCCAGCATCTAGGTCTCCAGTACTCATCGTTAAGATTATGAAACAAGATTATTTTACATGTGTTTCCCTTTGTGTTGGGGTTTATGGACCCTAACACTAGAATCAGACTGGAGTAAACTTTGCTCGTCCACCTTTTGAAATAAAAGCCAAAACATCAGATGCTGGTGATTTTCTTGATCTAAAGCAAATATATATTTTACAAACTACTACTTAACTGAGTATATGCTTCAAGTAGTTTGTCTGCGAGAAAGGAGATCACACCTTCACACACTAAATCTGTGGTTCAGAAAAATGTGACATTGTCTTGCTGAGGAATAATGTGGATATAGTGGAAGTAATGTGATGTTTCAATGCCGAGCATTAATTTGCAGGATATTATCTGTGCAAGTAGGACTACTGATGTAAATGCGGGCAGATTCATGTGTTGACAGATTAATGACAGACCTGGAAGACCTTACGTCCACTGGGAGAAGACAGACAGGTGACTGAACGTCGGTCGACCAGGTCCAGAGCCCGTAACGCACAGGGACCAAAGACAAACTTCAGCCTGAAAGACATGAAGAAGAAAATGTGAGAGAAAAAACACTACAACATCTTGAATCTTCATCAAGATGTATGGTATAAATGGCAATATACAAATATCAGTCTACCTATTTATCTGTCAGGCAAAACTTTATTTGTACAGCATCTTTCATACTCTAATATAGATTTATATAAAAGTTATAAAAACAGACCAAACAAGGACCAAAGAATATGTTGAAATACAAATACATATGACTAAAAATATTATTCTACTATCACTATATATATCATGATATAGCAAAAGGATGACTTTTATTAAACAACAGATGACTTTTAATAAGCACAAATGTTAATCGGTTGTTGTTATTTTATTTTTTGCAATCAATAATAACGACAGCATAAAAATATAAACCCATAAAAAAATACATCAATGTCTGTTAGTGAATCACCACAAAATGAAGTGAAGAGCCCCTAAACCAGAGAGTTCCCGACTAGAAGACAGGATGTGGGCGTGTTGACACAGACAGGGAGCGTCTTTTTTCTGTAACTCAGACCATTATGTCGAGAAATGTTTGGGTAAAGACACAGAGCAGCATCACGGCACCACGTCTCAGAGCTATGTCACTTTGGAAAATGTCTCCCCTGTCGACCTCAGTGTGGTTTCTACTTGACTTAAATCAACTCACATTCAGTCATGTGCAAACCTTTAACCCTCACACGGTCAAAAATAACTCAATGTATGGTTTTAAAAGTCTTAGTCACAATCATCTAGAGTGAAAGCAAAATAGCATAGTTACCATAAATATCTGTGATGGGAAGAAGATGGAAAAACACTTACGCAATAAGCAGGTCATCAGGAACTGCAAAAAAAGAAAAAGATAAAAGTAATTTTTTTAAATGT